AAATTTAGCGTGCGGAGTACGCCTTCCCCCTTAGCTCAGCTGGTTAGAGCGTGGTGCTAATAACGCCAAGGTCGCAGGTTCGATCCCTGCAGGGGGAGCAGCTAACTTTTTCTTTTTTCCGAACTATTTGTTCAGTGTAAACATTATTTTCTAACTTTAGCCAAAACTAGCAATTATATTAACCTTGAGCGCTTAAAATTTACTAAAAATATTTTATAATTTTACTTTTAAGTATTATAATACTCAAGCTTCTGAATAGCATAATTATTTTTATAAAAAAGGTTGTATTTATAGCCATAATTAAATAAAAACTCGAGTGTTAATTTTAACAAAGCTAGAAGAACTTGTTATATAAGAAGTTTTTATAGCTATAAATTTTGAGTATTGAGAAAAAGATAAAATATAGAAAAAAAAAGAAATATAAATTTAATGTAATATACTTTTCTTATTTCCTATGAGCTTGTTGTCATGTGTAAATACAACTAAACTTTATAAATAAACGATTGAGAACTTTATATACTTGATTTATAAGGTAAATTAAATTTTTTATTTATAAGCAAAAGAAAACTTAGCAAGTTTTTAAATTTTAAATCTCACTGAAATAATTTTTAATCCCACTTTACTATGATAAGTGTATTATTCAAGAAAAACACTGAAACAAAGGAAACACAAAAAGTTGATCAATAGCAATAATTTTTAATACAAAACCCCTTAAAATAAGAGTTTAGTAATGTTAAATAATAAAATCTAGAAAGTTTATAATAAAAAAAAAGTACTCTTAGTAAAATTTGAGGTAATAAGTATATAACAATAGAGAGTGGGAGTTACCCAAAAATGTGTAAATAATATTTTTTTTTCCTCCAAATCTACGCGTAGATATAACAAAAATGCACTCTTAAACCGTAGAATAATATTTACAACGCCTATTGAGAACAACTCGAAGGTATTAATTACAAAAGATTCGGAAGCTTAATCAGTTTAATTCCTTGTGAAAAGAACTGGTTAAAAAAATAATTAATTTAACAGTTAAAGAAATTTATTCTTACTGTTTTCAATAGTATTATTAAATAGTTTCAATCTAGCCTGCTTCATCTTTATGTGTACACTAGCTTTTATTGTACAACCTTGGTGAAACTTATTTTTATTAAATTAGAATATAATTCTTTTTAGCAAACAGGGGCCTTTTTTAAAACTATAAATTTTTTTTTTGGATGCTACCACAAAGGCATGAAGCTACTAAGAAATATGAATTTTTGTAAAAGTTAGATTAATTATCTTTCTAGTTTTTATTAAGTAGTTGATGCTAAGAAGTACTTCCACTTGTGGTAGTGAGCAAGTGACAAGTTTATCTTCCTTCAAATATATAAATGACTTTTAAACTATCTAAGTTGATCGTTATTAAAAAGTTAATAAGTTAAGTTCCGCTTTTTTGTCTATTTATCTGCCAAGAGATATGAATTTAAAGCAACAAAGTAATCAGTTTTTATTTTATCTGGCTTTGAAGATTTTTTAATGGGCTCGACTTAGAAATTTATTACATCAACTTATTTGTAAATTTTTAAGTACTAATAAAACTCGCCCAACCTTCGAATAATTATCTATAACAATTGCATGACCTTAAGGTAAATATTTTTGTAAAGATGTCCTTCAAATGAAGTGAGTTGGGTTGGGTACGTAAGTAGTGGGGTTAACTTAAAACCTAATATAGTATTTAGAAGAAGAGTTTAGCTGAGAAAAATCTTAAAAAGAAGTATATAAAACTAAAAATTCTTCAAAGGGTCGTCAGCCCCTAAAGTTTATAATCATATGAACAAAATTAGCACATTATCGGCGCTGTCTTCAACGATAAATAATATTAAAAAAATGATGAGGCCATCAAGTATTCGAAAAAAATTGTTTAAAAGAAATACTCATTCTGGAACAGAAAGGCCAGTTCAAAACTTAACTGTTTCAGTTACCACTTTGTACCTTTGTATAATCTATAAAGGAACCTTTCCCAAACCTAACTATGTCTATCTAGAAATTCTAAATAGAACTTTATACAGCAGTCAGATACTATTTAAAATTCTAATTATAAAGTTTACATAATTCTCTCAACTAAGATCAATTTTAATTTTTTAGAACTTTTCCTTACTACTCATCAACATAAGCTTAACCAACGTTTCCGCCTTATTTCATTTCAAAACTTTAAAATACAACCGTTAAGGATAAGAGTTTAATAATAAGCTCTAAACTAATAAAGAAAAAACATTTTTTGCGGATAGGAGAACATAAAAATTAATAATTAAACTAAAGAGGAAATTTTAAGAATATTTCAAATAAATATTTTGGGTTGGAAACCTTACGCACCCGGTTAGCTCAGCCGGCAGAGCGCTTGGCTGTTAACCAAGATGTCGCTGGTTCGAGCCCAGCACCGGGAGCTTTTTTAATATTTTTTTTCAGTTAAAAACTTAAATGTTCTTTCTACTATAACTTTCGTCATAATTATTATTTGCTGTGTAACTACGAACAGTTTTAGTTAATATTTTTTATTTTATTATAATTTAGGTATTACTTTAAGAATATGCAAGTGGCAACTATTTTAAAATTCTCAAGTTAATTAACACTTCATTCAACTTTATAAATTAAAAATCTTTTTTGTTATAAGGAATAAGGAATCTTATGTATTGCAGTTTTGTTTTAGGTTAAAAAGTGAAGGAAATACATATGTACATAAAAACTTTAAAAAAAAAGAGTATTTTTTCTAAAAGTTTTGTTTTGCTTTTCTTAAAGGAATATATATATTAAATCCTTGAAATTAATTTGGTAATTTTCTGAGTCGGACGACTATCTTAAACTGGTTTAAAGGCAACTAGCGACGATGGCTAATAGAAAATTATATTAAAAAAAATGTTAAATATCGTAACTATTAACCTTATAAAACTTTAATATTGTGTAAGTAAAGAATAAAACGAAAAACCTTGAATCTTTACCAAAGCTGTAGTATCATAAACTGTAATTGAACTAACCAAAAAAGATTTTTCGTCCAGTTTACTATAAAATGCACTTGAAACAACTTATAATTAACATGACAAAAAAATTCATGAAAAAATAAAAAACCGAACCGCTCGTAATAATAATCTACCCCGAACGCTCTAAAGATTAAGACAAACTTCAACCACAACGCCACAGTTAAATAACACAAAGTGTAAAAACTTTTTTCAATTTACTAAAAATGTAGTTAATCAAAATATATAAAAATAAACTTTTTTAGTATATATATGTAAATAAAAGTAAAAATAAGGATAGTTAACTTAAAAAAGTAATAATCAGCCATGCGTCGTCCGGGACTCGAACCCGGGTCCTGCGTATGGGAAACGCAGAGGATAACCCCTACCCCAACAACGCTCACAACAACACAAGTCTTTAATAAATATTGTTATAAATACGCTATTGAAGAGGAAGAAAAATATAACTAAACTTTGCATGAAGGAAATGTTTTATATATACATAATTTTTTTTCTGCTAAAGTAATTATTGTCTAATAGCAGAATAAAAAACCATTAACTATCCAAAGCGCACTGAAAGTTGGTAATAAAAAAATATGCTTTATATACATATTAAAATGAACAATACTAAACCAAAAGTTTATTTTAAAGCTCTTTTAATTAAAAGGTCAAGACGGACTACTTTGAGGGGGGGGGGGTCTCTTTGCTAAACATAAAGTGTTTTGTAATTAGAACTTCATTTTTTTAATAAATATTTTCCCGCCTTATTATTAAGCTGGGTGTATACGTTTTAAGTAGTGAAAACATTGATAAATTACAAGTCTGTTGCACTCCAGTTTGGATTTCGCTACTCTTAAGAATACAATTTTTAATAAAAAAGTTTCTATGTTTTACTTAACCTTTAAGCTTTTTAATAAAGCTGCATTAAATGCTTTCAAGCCTTAAATTATTCAGATTAAATATATTTTATTGTTTGTTAATAAAACACCTATATATAATGTAGTGTCTTTAGTAGTAATCCCTACCTAAAGATTTCTTTAATAATGTCGAAGTCACTTTTAGGAAATCTATTTCAATAATAGTTTGTCCATTTTTTTTTTAAAAATAATATGCTATATTTGTTTGTCGTAACTTTTTGTTATTAACATAGTCTCTGATTTATTATTTTTAAGGCTTCATCGTAAGTAAAAGTTTTTTTTTACTTTAAGCCGTTAAGTTAAGGTAGACGCTCGCTCATTGATTGTTCGAAAAGTGCTTTACTTTTAGAAACAATTAAATTCAAAGTGATAATTTGTGTATTTTGCTGTTAACTTTCTCTCATCAGTTAATTATTATGGCTTTATCATTTATTAAATGACTATATAAAATAAGTTTGTTATTATAATCATCTTCAGTGTGATTTTATGTAGCAATTAATAAGAACAAAGCCATAGGTGTTCTTTTAGTTCTTTATAATTATAAAGCAATAACTTTTATATAGTTGTTATAGTAATTAATTTATAATGATTTCAAAATTAACAATAGTTTAGATGTATAAAGAAACTAATAAAACTAAAACTAAGACGAAAAATAATTTAGTAAAATATATTAATAATTTTTTTTAGTCTCAGAGGTTTCTATATTTTTTCGCTTTTCCATTTTTTAAGTATATTATTTAATTTCTTCTCCACTGCTTAAAAAAAATTTATAACTAGTCCCAAATTTTTTTTAATAAAAGTAAAATTTAAATAAACAATCCTTTTCTAAAATTTACTAAATAACTTTAAAAATAGATTTTATAAAACTTATTTACTTTAACACTAATTAGATGAGAAGTTGAAAGAATTAAAGATAATTTTTTTTATAAAAAATTTATAGTCATCTTGAGTTTTAATAATAATTTTAACGTTATAGATATCTATGAAGCTTCAGTAACTACTAAATGGGCTGCAGCAGATTAATAAAAATTGTACACATTTATTTATTACAATAGAAAAGTACAATAATTCAAAGGGAAGTTCGCAAATATAATCAATTTCACAATAAAATTTTAAATTATCTGCGTGCCGATTCTAAAAGATGTTTAAGATCCAATGCTTTGCCTGTAAAATAATTAATTTGTATATAAAATTTTTATAAAAAAGTTTATTAAAAAAAATAAAAATAACTTCTTAATTTTCTTTATAAATTTTTTTAATTTTTTATTAACTCTAAAATACTATTAACAATTTTTAGTTATTGTCGCGGTTTTTATCAGTTTATACTAAAAAAAAGTGTTCAAATATTAAATCGGAAACAATTTAGTAATAGAAATTGACCACAGCATAAAAAGTAAAATAATAATAAAACAATAAAAGTTTATTATAAATAAAGTAAAAGTTAAATAGAAATTATAACATGCAAAACTTTGAGCAATAAATTTTGAATTTTTCTAAATTATTATTAGTGTTATTTATCGTTATACTTTTAATTAAATTAATATGAAGAGTAATTTTTTTTAAAAGATAAGAAAAAAAAAAATTAATAAGGAATACATAAAAAAAATCAGGAGAATTAAAAAATATATATATAAAAAAAAGGTAAACCAATATTTTTCATTGTTCTAGAAAATTCTAAATTTTATTTAATTTAAATTTACTATAAAAAAAGTAAAATAAATAAAATTTAAAAAATTTCCAAAAAAAAAATATAAAAAACTGAAATCCAAAAAAGTTTTAAATAATTTTTTGAAATTCTTTATTCTTGATAAATAAAAAATATAAATTATATAAATTATTAATAAAATTTTAAAAATATTTTTATATTTTATTCATCTTAAAAAGAAATTTTTCAAAAGTTTTAAAAAATTTTAGGGAATAATCTAAGAAAACGTAAAAAATAAGAATTTTATAAAAAAAGAAAAAATCTTTTTTTTTATTTATTATAATAAAGTAAATTTAAAAGTTTTAATTCCAAATTTAAATCATTTAAAATTTTAAATATTTTTCCGGAATATTCTATAATTACTTATTATATACTTTTAAAATATATAATATAAATTTTTAAAATGGATATAATAATAAATTAAATATTTTTTTCATAAATTTTCTATAAAAATGTAAATTCAACAAAATTTCATGCTTTCAAAAGTACTTAAAAAATTTTTTATAAATTTCAAAATTTAACATAAATTTATTCTTATATAATTCAAAAATTTTTCTTGAATATTCTAGAATTTTTATAATATATACTAAAGAAAAGAGTAAATACATGAATTTATAAATTTTTGCCAAAATATTTATAAATTGTTTATTAGAAATTTATAGTAAACATAAATAAATAATACTGCTCCATAACTTTTTTTTAAAAAAAATAAATATCAGAAAATAATATTAATAAAAAAAATAATAATAATAGTATATAAAAAAAAATATATTTTTTATTTAAATGTACTGTTTATTGTTTTTAAGTTGTTAATATATAATAATATAAGCAAAGCAAAGTTTTGCTTAACAGGTAAAAATATTACATGCATAACTTTTGGATATAATAGTTAATTATTTATAAAATTGTTAATTGGTTGTTTAATTAATTTACTTCTTATTGATTGGCAACTTATTATTTTTTTTTATTACAAATTTAGGGGTATTATTAAATATTTTAGTTAATAAAATATTTTTATATAAAGTAATCAAAGTTTTTCTTAATAAATTATATAGTTCTTTTTGAATATGTAAACGTAAAATATTGGTTTTACATTAATCTTTTCAGTCGCAAGTTTTTTTTATATATATTATGATAAAAGTTTATTAAATTGTGTAAGTAAGCAAAGTATATCTAAAAAAGTAAAAAAAGATACACGTTAATAATTATTTTTGATAATTTATTTCTTTTTTTAATAGCAAGTGTTCCTATACTTCTTGAATCTTATATGTACTATTTATATTTGCTTAAGTTATAAGTAAATAAGTACTATTATACATACAAAAATAATTTTTAAATAACTTTTTTAGTACTTCACAAAAAAGTTTTAATATAATTATTTTTAAAATCATAGGTTGGTTGCTTTAAATAATTTATTCTCCTTTCATTGACAAACTTTTATTATAATTTTTTTTAATTTCATTACTCTTTAAGTATTTTTTATAATTTACGTTATTAATATATAAATATATAATTTAAGGAAAAATTTCTTAACAAGTAAAAAAAAATAATAAATAACGATTTTTAATAAAGCTGTTTAATAAAATTTAATTATAAGATCGTTGATTGGTCGTTTTACATAATTTAATTTATTCTGATTAGCAATTTTAGTATTGTTATTTTTGTTATAAAAATTCATATATATATATATATATATATATACCTTTTACTATTATTTTAGTTAATAATAAAATAAATATATAAATATTTAGTGTTCTTTTAAAGCAAAGTTTAACAAATATATAATATCTCTGGGGCCATTAGTTTTTCATAATAGTATTTAATTGGTTTATAAGTAATTATAGTAGTTTTTTATATATTTTCTGTATCAACTTTTTACAGTTTACTTTACGTTCGATTTTTATATATAAATAAATGTTAACACAAATTTTCAAGAAATATATAATATTTTATATATTTATACAATTTTTATCACTTAAAAAGTAATAAGTAATAAAATAAAGTTTATAATAATAATATAATACTTCTTTTGTTCAGCTCAGTTATAATATTTATAGCTTTTATTTCCGAACAATCATATACAGAAGTTTTTCCATCGGCTAATAATAATAATAATAAATAATAACTTGAATAAAAAAATATAAACAAAAATATTAAAAAGTAAAATTATTATAAAAATAAATGTATATATCTTTTATTAAAATTTTTAATATTTATTAAATATTTAAGATATTTCGATTTATTTATTATTTTTGTTTATATAAAATTTTCCTTTTTCTAATAAAATTTTATAATATAATTTTCAAACTTGTGAATAATTTATAATTAATTTATTATTAATAAACTTTACTTATAATTTTTTTTGATTTTTTTTAATAAAAAAATCTTTTAAATAAAATTACAGTAAAAGGAGTAAAAAATATTAAAAAATTGTTTTTCCGCTTAAACGTTTATACTTTTATTATAAATAAATATTAAAAGTATAAATTTATATAAAAAGTTTGATAGTTATAATAAATATATTTTAAAAGAATATATATAAAAAAATGTTTTTTTGCTTAATCTTATTATAATTATACAAATATTGTAAAAAAAATATTGAAAATTAAAAAATAATAAACTTTATTAAAACATTTAATAACTTTATATATAAAAATAATGCTTTAGCTTATATAACTTATAACAAATATATGAAAAGTATTATGTATTAATATAAAAAGTTTAATAATTATATATATAAAAATGTTTCTTCCCTAAATCTTATAAAAATAATGAACTTTATTAAATTTTTTTATAATTTCATATAAAAATATACATAAAAATGAAACGAAAAAGTATAACATTTTGTTATTAAAAGTTTTAAAGCATACAAAAATTATTTTTAAAATTATTACAAAAACTTTTTATAAAACTTCTAAATATTAAAGTAAAAAAAAAAAACAAAAAATATTAAAAATAAAAATTATAAAGTTTTGGAAAAAAAATTTAAAAATAAAAAATTTTTAAAAATATAATGAAAACTTCATTGAAAGTTTTAAAAATATTAACATATAAAAAAAAAATTTTATAAAACAATAAAACAATTTTATATTAATATTCTATAAATCAGTATTTAGAAATCTTTAAAAAAATATTTTAAATTACCATAAAAGAAAAAAAATTAAAAAAATTCATTTTGATATAAAGCTTTGTTACTTTTAAAAAAAATAATAAAAAATAAAATTATTATAAGAAACTTTTATAAAACTTAAAAAAGTTACAAAAATTATTTATATTATTATAAAATAAAAATAAAACAAAAATTTATTAGTTAATAATAAAAATTTCTATATATTAACTTATTTTTATACAAAAGTATTAATAACGTTTAATTAAAGTAATTTTACCATAATAAAATAAATTTTTATATAAAAATTTTATAAGAAGTAAAAACTTTAAAAATATATTAAAATAGAAATAAAAATAATTATAAATAAAAGTAATTTATAATACAATTAAATTAATTTATCATATAAAACTTTATATACAAAAATTAAAAAAAAGTTTTAAAGAATATCAAAAAAAATTATTATAAATAAAAATATTTTATAATAAAATAAAATTAATTTTTATATAAAAATTATTAATTCATAATGAAAGCTTTAAAAAAATATTGAAATATTAATAATAAAGTAATAACTTAAATAAAAGTCATTTATAAATAAATAAAATCCATTAATATATAAAACTTATATTAACATAAAAAAATTTTAAGATTAATAAAATTTATTTAAAACTTTAAAATGATTAAAAAAAATATTAATAAAATTTATGATAAAATATAATAAATATGTGTATATAACTTTTTAGTTCATAATAAAAACTTTAAAAAAAAAAATTAATAATAAAATTAATTTATTAAAAAATAAAATCAATATTTACATAAAACTTTTATAAGTGTTGCAAGAAATTTAAAAAATAATAATTTTTATATAAAACTTCTATATAAATTACTAAACTTTTAAAAAATAACTAATAATAAAAGTATTCTATAATAAAATAAAATCAGTTTTTATAAAACTTTTATAAAGAAAAAAGTTTACCAAAATAATAAAATAAATTTAAAATTTAAAATTTTTTATCAACTTAAAAAAATATTTAAAAAAAAATGATGAAAGTATTATAAAAGGTAATTTACAATACAAAACAATTTTATATCAATTTTTATAAAACATTTAAAGATTATACAAAAAAATAATTTTTATATGAAACTTTAAAAAATATTAGAGATGTACTAAATAAAATAATTAAATCAATTTTTTTACTATAAAAAAGAATATTTACATGAATTTTTTTTAATTTATTATTAAAAAAAATTAAAAAATTAAAAAAAATATAATAAAATTTTATAAACTTTAAAGGTATAATTAAAAGGTTAAAATTAATTATAAAAAGTAATTAATAATACAAAGTATCAACTTTTTACATTGAACAATAATTTTAAATTATTAATAAAAATAATTTATATAAACGTTTTAGAAATTCTCATAATTATTAAAAACAAATGAATAAAATTAAAAAAGATTTTCTACAAGAGCTTTCATAGCTTAAAAAAATTTAAAAAAAAAGGAAAATTTCTATTCGTAAAAAGCTTTTTATAATTTAATAAAATAAGATTTAATACACAACTTTTATTAGTTTTAATTATAAAAAATTAAAAATATAATTAATATAAAATTGATAAAAATTTTAAAAATATCCAGAAATTATCAAAATTTATAAAGCATAAAAAAAAATTGTTTTCATTTTTTATATAATTAATATATAAAACTTTTTTGTTTATTCAAAACATTTATAAAAAATATATATTTCGGTTAAAGTTTGATAAAAATACTAAAAAAAAGGAATCTTTATTAAATTATATTTATATAAAATGAATTTTTTTAATTTAACAATGAAAATGTTAATAAATTGGTAAATCGTTTACAAAAGTTTCTAGATATTAAAAAAAATAATAAACAAAAAAATCATAACTATATTATATATTAGGGTAATTACTATTATAATATGTTTTTTTTTATATAAAATTTTTAAAGATTTTATATTATATTATTAAAAAATAACTCTAAAAAATAAACTAAATTAAAAATTACAATGGCTAACCAATAGATATATTAAAAAATTCCAAATTAATACCAATAATAAAAGCAAAGCAATTCTATATATAAGGTTTATTTTTTTTTAAAAAAATAGTTTTCTTTTAAAAACCAAGGTCAGTAAATAAATAAAAAACAATAAAAAAAGTTAATACTTAAGTAAATTATATGTGTATTATAAAATTCTATAAAAATACTACAACTTACCAAAGACTACATCTACTCGTGAAACTTCTGCAGGATCTTCAAGCATAAAAGTATTAAGTTTAAAATTAGGATTTTCTCTGGCAACTTTCAGAGTTGACACTCTTCTCAAGATTTCTCTTAGTTTTTATAGAGTTAATTTACTAATTAAATACTCGTAAAGTTTAACGAAAGAGCTTTAGTTATTCTTTTTTTTATATATATAAAAAAAATAAAGTTGCTTTGTCGTTCGAATACAAGATTAAAAAAGCGCAAATGTGTCTTTAGTGTAAAAAATATTATTAAGGAATACAGATTCTAGAAAATTTTTCAAGAGATAACCAAAAAACTCTTTGTGAATTTATTTTATTAAACTAATATCAATAAATAAATAATAAAATTGCCTTGCCGTTCCAGAAAAGTACAATTGATAGTAAAGCAAATTTACTTATTATAAGAAAATATTTTTAAATAGTTATAATTACTAAAAAAGAGCATTATTAAATTTGCTTTGCAGTTCCACTGCAAAATAAAAATAGATGCAAACTTTATAGTAATTAAAGTTAAATTTTTAACCCAAAAGAACAGTTAACAGTAAAAAAGTATGTACTCGTATATTATAACGAGTTACATTTCGTGAACATATTAAAAGTTATAAATCAATAAAAAAAAAATATTAAGTGCCTTGCAGTTCGACTACAAGGTAAAAAAGGTGCAATTTTAATAGTCATCGATGTTAAATTTTTAACCGAAATATACATTATCATATACTTTTTCTAACAAAAGTTTAATTCAATATGCGCAAGCTTTCTACCGGTTTAGCGTTTACAGTAAACGGCAACCTCCAATTTACTCCTCATGTAAAAATTTTTATCAGTTTTATATAGATAAATGTTTCATTTTTTAGTTGACAGTAAAAAAAACATTAAGTGATGAGATAAAAATTATTCTGAAGTTTTTTTGTAGATAATAAATCAAGAATGAAAAGTTTATATTGGAAAAAGAAAATTATCGTGTGTTGCTTTGGTAAAAGGACGAAGATTCTTTACGGAGAAAAATTTTTATTTAAAAATATTTTTAAATGTTTTTCAGATGTGTACTTGTGAAACTTCGGTAAAGTTAATATAAAAATTTTTTTTTTTAAGTCAAAATTTATTAAGAAGTATTATTTTTACAATATTTATAATTATTTTTCATAAATTATTATAAAAATCAGATCAAAGTTGCAAAGAAACTAATAATAGCAGGTATAAGGAAAAGTTTTACTTACTATTAATGACCGAAATAATAAGAAAAAGATAGGATTAGGCTAAATAAGCCTTTAAATATCTCTTAAAAGGAAAAGTTTATAAGTTGTATTTATATTTTAATAATAAACATAGATATGATGTAATATTGAAAAAATTAAAGTTATCTACTAATACTATAATTAAATTTAACAAAAAATGTTATATAAAAATATATACCTTTAAACCATACACTTATTTTTTGGATTTCACATTAAATAAGTTTTTTAAATGGCTTTAGGAATGAAGGTTTTTAATTGCATTCGACTTTTAATATAAATAAAAGTATACTATAACAAGCGAAAAGCATAATTCTTATTAATATTGTACTAAAACTTTTCAAAGATTTTAATAATTTTTAACAAAACCACACGCCTTCTCGGCTTCACATTTAAAAGGTTTGCATTCGTATATCAACAATTGATGGAAGTATAGCATAATATTAAAATTTTAAGGCTGAGCTGTCTACGCTTATAAAATAACAATTTAAAAGCTTATACGTTCAGGACCCGTTATGTACTAATTACCGTTTAAAATAAAATAAAACAATCGAAATGAACTATTAAGTAACATAGTACAACCCCAAAAACTTCTCTTCTTAATTATAAGATTCTTACCTTTTATATAAGCAAGCATTGAGATAAATACAATAAACTAAGTATCACACAACAAACTTTCAAAATAAAATCTAACTTAAAAAATAAACATAATAAAATAAATAAAACTTAATGAAATATAAATTCCTTAAATTAATTAAATATAATTTAAATCTACTAAAATAAAATAATTCACTAAAATAATAAAATAAAATAAAATAGGTTCTTATAATTGTTATCTTCCTGTAAGACCTCGCAGTTAAATCACCCAGTTTCTATATATGAAACCATTGATCTCTTCTTCCCATGGTTAACTAAAGCAGTAAAGGTAGTTCTATTTAACTAAGCTCAACAAGACGTCATGGTTGGTGGGTATTTTAACATAATGTTGATTATATGATCCAATTACAGTGCGCAGCTAATAAAAAAAAGTGTAGATTCCACGCAACTGAGGGTAAGCTCTTTGCATTTACACTAATTTTACCTGGTAGATTTAATCTCTCAAGATTATTTTAAAATTGTGTATATATATTCATTTTAATTCAATAAAAACAAGATTCGATCTTTCGTTTGTGGCGTCTTTTCAGTCTATAGGGCTGTTAAGAAGTTTTAGTATTATAATCCAAAGAATTTTAATATATTGTTTTGGGCTACAGGGCCGAACAAAGTGTTTTATTAACTGTCTACAGGATAGTTTACTGGGAGCTTAACTTCTAGAGGGCGTGTGTATTATTAAAGGAGCCTAACAGCTTTAAAGGAAATTTTTAAACGCAATAATCAAAATACTTTATTCATTTTATATTAAAACTTTACATAAGAAGAAAATTTTTTTTCTGAACCTTTTGGTGAAACCACACGCATTTGTAACTTTTACAAATCAATTAAGTACTATATTTTTCCTATAGTAACTTTATCTTGTTCATGGCCTGAGTATTAAAATTTATAATTAACTTGGAAAAAATACATGTTAGAAATTTTAAGGAGTCTAAAAGCTAAAAATAAACACTACAATGAATAAAACAAAAAAAAAAAAAAAAGAAATGAAACAAAAAAAAATTTTTAATTTAAAGTTAGTATATGCTTTAAAAAACATTGATAAGTCTATCAGACTTGTCTACTAAATTCTTATACGTCATAAGCAAACAACAGAAATCTCCATATTGAGAAACATGCGTTTTCTTTAGATTCTCTATATCTATTTTCACAATATTTTATTGACAAAAAAAATAAGTAATAGTAAACATAAATTGAGGTCTTATTAACCTTTTTTTTATATAAAATTCGCGCAGCTACTTTAAAAATCGAGAGCTTTAGAACTTTGTGGAATTAATACAAAAAATACAAATCGAGAAACCAATCAAGTAATGTTTTCCAATCAAATTCTGTTTTTAATTTAAAAAATTTCTTTTATAGTAATATTTTTATTACTGGGTTCAGCAAAACTAAGTATAATTATCAGTCTAACAAAAAAGATTAGGTCTAACTGACATTCGAAATTAAGATTATAAAAACAAAGAAAAATAAGCAAAGAGATAATTAAGGGAGCATATAAGAGTATATAAAAATGACTTATATAATCTAAAATTTTTACTTATTAAAAACTCAGTGATAAAACCTAAAATTCAATGAGAATACATTTGTACAACAACTCAACTATATGAATAATTTTTGTTAATTTAATTTTTTATTATTTTCGATTTTTCTTAAGATCAGGTCACTTAATGTGCTTAAACTGACTTTTATTAACAAAAGTGCAGCTTTCTCAGCTTTTTATGTAAACCAACTCCGAATTTTTAAATAAAAATTTAATAGAGATTTTAGTTTTATATAAAAAACTTATAATATCTCAAAATAAATTAATTATTCGTACAACTAAAAGTTTTTTAATTATGACATTAATTAGATAACGGTTTTGCTTTCATCGAAGTAATAATTAAAGTAAATGGCAATCAATATTTACCTAAAATTCCGTTGAAAAGTACGAATTTGTTAAAACTCTCCACTATTATAAGAATTCATGTTTAACTGTGCCCTTCCGGTGATTAGCAACGGGAAGGGAATGCCTGTGTATCAGCGGAATTTTACCGCTGTAAGAGTAGTCTTTTCAGTTTTTTTTGTAGAATGACTCCGATTTTGTAACCGGAATTGCCTTTATTATTTTTCATTATAGATTATTTGTACAACTATAAATTTTTCTATTTTTTAGTCAAGTGAGTATTACAGAAAGTGCAGTCTTTCGGTTTCTGTATGAATGGTTTCAGTTTTTTAATAAGAAAATAAAAGGTCTAGAATTTATAGTTTTTGGGTTAGAAACTTCTACCATCTTATAAATAAATTATCTGAGCAACTAAAAGTTCCTCCTTTGAAGTTCAGAGTTTGTAAATAAGTCGCCAAGGACTTCTTAAAATATTAAATATCATATGTTTTTAAAATTTTTCTAGACAGGAGGGGCTCCCGTCTTGTTTGTTTCTGTTTAGTAATTTCTTTATTTTTTTAAGAAATATTAAATTTCAAGATTTAGTAACTTAATCAACTAATAGTTCATTGTTCTATCTAAATACTTTTCTGGGTTTCTTTTTTTGAATCTTTCATAAGCCTTGGAAGACTATTAAGTAATCCTAGAACTGTAGATTGAGCTAACTACTAATTACATTAAATTTACTTGCTTCTGTATTCGCAATCTAGTTAAGTAACGTGTTTTACGGAGACGACCTCATTGGTGCGATTGAACTCACGAGTTATATACTTAATGGAGCTCCCCAGCCAGAAATTCTTTACAGAAAGCTACTTTCCGAGTGTGGACTTCGGAAAAACTTGCAAGGCTGAAAATAATTATACCGTAGGCGACGAATTCATTTATATTCTTGGCTACTTTCTTTACACTTTTATAGTTTGTCATTGCCGCTCTGGAATAATTCTTACAAATGCTACCTCTACCACAAATTTTGAATTATGGAGACTATAAATTTTTTTTCTACTAACATTATTATGTTATTATAACCAATATTATCATCTTTTAAAACTGCCTAACCGTTTGCTCTCTTACACGACGAACCGAAATTACGCTTTCAGCACGTCCCAATCTATTTGAGTACTTCCACCCTTTAAAGTATCGCGCTCATTCCAGCGTTGAAACCTTTTGTACCTTTTATCCGTCAGAAGACGATCCAGCGACTTCTAGGCTCTTCCATTTAACTTATGCACAATTATATCTTCGTATACTTTTAAAAATTGCAACACCTCCTTTAAAGCTTAAATCTCTTTTTTCATCAAGTTTAGCATCTGTTGATTCTGGTTATTAAGCACTTACCTCTTTTAACGCTGCTGTTCACCCAAAGCTAGCATAAGAACGGCCGCGCTAGCTTTCATGTTACAGAGTCTTTCTTTAAAAATAAGGTGTAGAGGTAAAATGTCAATGTTAGTTAGGTTTCCCACTCTCGTAGTCTCTTTAGTCGACCGTAGCGCTTATAATGATATAATGGATGTGAAGAAGGGGGCAAGTTTATTGAACTATTTCGCAAGGTGCACCCAAAAAACAAAAAAAAAAAAGACTAACGATGCAGCTTTTTTTTTGGCACTGGCATTCTAGGGTCGATCTTTATGACAAACTCGAACCACTTAACCTTAATACCCCTCTTCGAAAAGGTTGAGGCACAAGCGCTTACCATTATAAGCTTCCGAAGAGCTATCATGACGGCCCCGAAAGACGTAAAAAGCGGAGAATATCCGGCCTCAACTACAGTCATTGCGATGGGTTTCTGCTAAAAACCACTACCAGGAGAGGCGACCAGCCTGCAAGATGCCAGCTGAGTTTCCCCTGCTTACCTAAGTCGTGCATTTCGTTCGTATGACCATTTATAAAAATATAACTAAATATGGAAGTATGCGTGCAAGTAGGTTTCGCAAGTGCATCCTTGCTGAACAATAGTGAAAAATTTTAAATTTTTAATTTTAACACTTTTTTAGCTCAAATTTTTATAAAAAATTTTCCACAAAATACTAAGCTATACTCAAGATAGAACCATTAAAATTGAAGTATAATCATCATAATAATTTCTTTGATAATAAGGGGTTTGAATTAAGATAATCTAAAGACCAAGACTATACCATTTTGGATCCAACCAGTTAACACTACTTTTACCTTGCGCACAATGCTGATGACTCCGTCAATCTATACAAGTTTCTGTCACGTTTGGTTTTAAAAAATATGCAATCAATTTTAGTCCTTAAACGCTGGTTCACATCAATAATCTTAAACTTAATCCGTCAAAATACTAGGCCTTACTGAACTCCTTTAGAAGGAAACAGAGCCCGGTGAGCAAAAATTTTCGATTATTTGATAATGAATCTCCTCTGGTGCTCGTAGCATCTTGGAGTACTTATTGACCACAGTCCATATAGGACGCTTACTTAGACTACTTAACCAACAATTTAGAACTATTAATTATGACCCGATATTACCCGCTTTTTCGGTCCTTAGGGACAGTCATGACTTTTTAAAGGGTGTCACACTGGTGGTTACTCCCGCTCTAAACCCTGCAGGAGAGGGGAATTCAGATTAAGCGGCTCAAGGTCTGAAGAAGACCGGCCGTAGTACGCCAGTGAAAAAAGGAAAAGTACTAAATGTAAATAAAAATGCAACTATATACCTTTCTATACAAGAAGGCTGTAAACGGTTCACTTTCCTTTTTTTTTAAAGTTTACTCTCCGAACCTTTACTACTAAGTAAATAAGGATTAAGCAATAAAAAGAAACGTATATTCTTGACTGTAGCACGCCAATTAGATAAATAAATGTGTAAGGGCCAACTGAGAATTTCAGAACTCTTTCCTTTTTTTATTTTAAAAAAAATATGTTTTTAGAATTTTATTACTTTATTTTTTTATTATTATTTTAAGCGAGTGTTCACTTTAATTTTTAATTCTTTCTATTCATTCTAATTTATTTATTTAATTTATACTAATTTAAATCCGATGCAGTACTTCTACTAAGTGCTTAGTTTTTAAATCCGTACAGTTTAAAATAGCACGTTCTAAAACTAATTTTAAATAAAATTCAGATCAAGGTTATGAAGAAGACCAACTTTTTTATAATTTAGATAAATTATTATAATATAAAATTTTTAGCATTAAAATTTAATGTAGATATTGCTAAAAATATATTTAGTAACGATATTCAGTAAGTGCTCACTGAAAGTGCTTCAGAAGAGACTAATAATTATTGACGTTGCTATTCTGATAATTAATTTTGATATAAATAAACGATATATAATGTTGTAATAAAACTCTGAAAGTTGACACATCAGTTAAAAAAAAAATTCATTTTATTACTACAAATAAAAAAGGCGCCACATTTAAATGAAAACAGTTAATAAAAACTTTTATATCAATTTTTTTTATACACATTAATTTTATTTTGGCTAATGATATTTAATAAATAAAAATAATTTGTAATATTTTAAAATCTTTAAAAATCTTTAATAGTGTTAATTATAATTTTATTAAAAAAAAAATAATAGTTTATATATAAATTTAAAATATTAGGTCTTAGGTCCTTATTATTTACTTTTTTTATATATTAAGATAAATTAAAAAACGAAAGAACAAAATAAGGAGTAAGAAGCGGTTTAACCCAAATAACAACACATTTACTTAATAATTAGACTAGTTTACAAAACGGAACTACTAACAAACGTTAAGTCGGGAATTATTATACAATAAACACTCGCACAAAGTTAAAAGAAAAGAAAATTAACGAATAGTTTTACAGCAATTAACTTTAATAACAACTTTTACGCTAAGTTTTACTTAGTTATGTACAGTACAATTTTTCTCTATATTTTTTCTTAGTAGTGAATTATTTTTTTTAAATATTTATATATTTTTACTTGTCTTTAAATAATAATTATAAAATAATATTTTTTTTTGCAACTTGTTAAAGTGGAAATAAGTAGTGTCAATTTATTTTCTTCTACCTCGCAAGGCACGAGAAATGAAACTTGCAATGTTTTTTTATCTAAAAAACTTGCTTATCTTTTAAGGCATGGTGCAGGAAAATATGGTTTTTTATTTTTTTTATTTTTTTTCTATATTATTTCCATACGTTTCCAAAAATTATTGTTCTCTATTAATTTATTTCCTTTATTTATTGAATATGGTCTTTAAATTTTTTTTAAAATTTCACTGTTAATTTTTATACTTCATCATTTTTTAGGTCTAAAAATGGGTGAAGATGGCTTTGTTCAAGTGTCTGATATTCTTAATCTTAAAGCATTTTCCAAATTTACTTGTCCTTTTTTTTAAAAACTTTTCTATATCGTTATAAACTTTTACAAAAATTACTTGCCTCTTTTATATTTTTTTATAATAACTTATTTATATTGTTTATTTTTTAAAAAATTCCAAACTTATTTTTTGTATATTTTTTTATAACTTTTTTTACTTTACTTTTATGATTTATTTTTGAAATTTACTTATCAAAATTTTATTTTATTTATAAATCATTTTAACTTTATTTATTTTTAATTAACATTTTTTAGATTTTTCTTTTTCTTATTTATTTCATATATCATTTACTTTGCATTTACTTTTGATAATTTTTTTTATAATTTTTTCATCTCCTTTTTACTTAAAGATCTTTCAGTTTTATTTTTTTCTTGTATATTTATGCTTTTTTCATTATTATTTATAATTTTTTTAATTATAAATCCTAATAAAATTTAAAATATATGTGTTTATAGTAAGAGGATCCGGGGCTGCATGTGCTTATACAAATACGGCCCATGCATGCGCTCCTATAATTTTTTTAATCCTCTCGTTCCTTTTTTCTGTAAGGTTAGTTTGGTGCTCTAGAAAGTCCTATATTATCAAATAAATTTCTACAGTGCTTTTAGTTCTTCGACTTCATAATTATATTACGTTAAAGTCTATAATATATCTAATTATGATATTAACGTTCTGTTTTACAATTATTCCGGAGGGCTTCCGACTTGTAAAATAAACAGATTCTAATATTTTAACTTATTTTTACTTACTAATTTTATTTAATTACTAAATTTATAAAACTTTGTTATGAATTTGATTTATGTGGTAGCTATAAATTTTTACCGTTACGAATAATTTCTTTTTTTCCCCGTTAACTTTTACTATTATTGTAATTATTTTTTTCGGATTTATTTTTAAAATAATTTTAAAGTATTTTCAAATTAATTTTTTATTTCAGTAGTAAATAATATTTTTCAAAAAAAAATTGAAATTTTATTTATTTTTATTTATTTCTACATATTATAGTTTATATATAAATATTTAAAAAAATTTGTTTTTTTTAGTAAAAAAACTTATTATCTATTTATTACTATAATTATTTATTATTTTTATAAGAATTTTATTAGTAGCTTTTACTAGTATAATATTCCGTTTATTTTCTTATGTATATTATTATTATTAAAATATTATTTCGTTTATATATTTTTCATATATCTATTATTTTTAAAATAAATAATTACTATATTCCTTTTATATAATTTTGGTTATGATATTATTAATAACTTTCATTATCATAATATTTATTTATTATCCTTTTTTTATATATTGTTATTATTACTAATAACTTTTAACCTAAAAACTTTTATATAAAAGTGCAAGATATTCTTGACGTCGTTGCAACCAATAATAAGCAGCGTTTTTATCTCCACCAACGGGATGGAAGCTTGATGATAAGAGCCAATCAGGGCCATTCTTTAAAAGTATATTTTATGTTCTCTATTATTAGTGGTATTATTATTTTATTATTTTTTACTTTTTTTATTATTATAATTACTTTTTATATTATTAGTGAACTTTTTTAACGAATTGTTATTAAAAGAAAAAGAAACATTTAAACTTTCTTTTTATTAATTTTATATTATTATAAAAATATTATTATTACCTTATTTCATTATTTTATATGTATTATAATTATTATCTATAAAAAATTGTATTTATGCATATATAGGTTGACCACTTAGAGCTTGTCCCTTTAAATCACGATTTTGATTCGTTTATAATTCATGGGACTTACATGAGGAATTGGGCATCGATCAGAGACAACGGTAAGGTTATATTAATTTGCTTCTAAATAGTGAACCATACAGAAACTATAAAGAAATTTTTTTTTAGTATAATGAATTTTTTTTATATTTTATATAATTTTAGTTATAATTTTATACTTTTATCAGTTCTATATTTATTGAATTTATTATTTATTATTTAATTTTTTCATAAGAAATAGTATAATTATGTTATTTATTTTTTTATTTATTTTATATTTATTATACTTTTCTAGTATTATTATTAAAAAAATATGTATTTATTTATTTTAAAAATAAAATTTATTAAATTTTCTTTTTGTTATCATCTTTAATATGAAAATTTTTTATTTAATTTATTGTATATAAAAAAGATTTATTAAGTATTTTTTATATATAAAATTTTATATTTTTTTATTTATTATTTATTTTGTATTTATAATAAATATTTTTTAGTTTTATTATAAAATTTTTTTTTAATTTATTCTGAATATAAAAGTTATTAATCTTTTTTTGTCATAAATTATTATATAATTTTATTAATATTTTTAGTTTCATGTTAATTAATTTTTTTTAAAAATTTTTTATAAATATTTTTTTTATAGTTATTTATATATAAAATTATAGAATTTATAATAAAAAATATTTTTTATATATAATTAATGTTAATTTTTATGTATATTTTTATCTTTAATACTTTTTTAAAAATATTATTATAAAATATTATATTAATATAATTTTTTTCAATATTTTATTTATAATTATAACAGTTTGTAAAAGTTAGCACACTTTACTATAAAATAATTATTTTTATAAAAATTTATTAATAACTTATTTTTATATTTATTTTACTTTTTTTTTCTATTTATTAAATTTATTATTGATATTTACTAAAATTTTTATATTTATTTTTTTTTTAAATATTTTTTAACTTTTTTTATTTACTTTAATTTTATTTTTTATAAAATTATTTTAAGTTTTTTTTTATTTTTTTTATATTTATACTATTTTTTCCTATTTATTTTACTTTATTTTTATATCTTTATTAAAATTTTTTATATTTATTTACTTTTTATAAAAATTATATCTATTTATATTTTATTTTTATATCTTTATTTTGAAAAAATATACTTTTCATATTTATTTTATTTATTTATTATTATTTTTTTTTTTAGGCTTAAGCAGGATGAATCGAATTCATATTCACTTTACTGATCGTTTGCCTCAAAACAATCAAGTTATTAGCGGTATTTGTTATTCATTATTTTTTTGGCGTTTTCACTATTTTTCATGACAATATTTTTTTTAGGCATAAGAAAAAATTGTGATTTGTTGATTTTTGTAAACTTCCATCGAGCACGTGACGATGGGATTCAGTTTTTTAAAGCAGCCAATGGGGTGATTTTATCGGAAGGCATTGGCGGACGCATTTTATTGAAGTATTTTTTGAAAGTTATCCACCTGAAATATGGAAAAGAAGGTTTTTGATTGGCTTACAATTTGTTTTATTATTGTTATTGTTTATTATTATTATTTATAAATATTTTAATATTTATTAACATCTATATATCCTACTTTTTTTTTCTTCTTGTATTTATATAAATATATTCTTTTTTGCTATTTTTACTATAATTATACAACTTTATTCTATTTTCCTTGACTTTTTTTATTTATTACGATTATGTTATAAATATAAATATATATTTATTTATATATTTTTATACAACATATATATATATATACTTATTAAGTGCAACTGATTTACTTATTTTTATGTTTATTATAGAACTTCTCTATGAAAGCAAATGAATATTAATAAGAAAAAGGTTTTTACAATAAACAATACATTATTACTATTATTACTATTATTATTCTGTAATGAAGTTTAAAATAGTTAAACTGCTTCATTTTCCTTTTTTCCTACCAGTGATAACTTTATTAGTTACCAGAATATTTCGGTTGGCAGGTTTTATTATTAATGTTTTTTTTATACTAAACTCTAAAATATTGTAAAACTGCTACTTTGAATTTTTTTCTTCCAAGAAAAACTTTATTTTAGTCATTAGAATAATTTACATGACATTTTTTATTATATTATTATCATTACTACTACTATTATTAATAATAATAATAATATAAAGATTATTTTTATGTAAAAATGCTTCGTTTTTTTCCCCACTAAAATAGCTTTATTAGTTGCCAGAATTAACCGGTTGGCCTTTTTTAACTTAATACGTAAAATTAAAGGAAAGAATTTTTTTTACTTTTTTTAAAAAAATATTTATTATAAAAAGAAAATAAGAATTTATTAAATATTACAAAATTATATATAAAAAATAGTATAACCAAATATATTATATAATTATAAAAATAATAATATATACATTAAGTATATAATGAATATTAAAGTATATTATTCTTGATATGTATAATAAAAAATAAACAAAATTCTATAAAAGGCTGAATAAATATAATAATTATGAGAAATAAATTAAAAACGTTAATAAAATAAGTTAATTTCGTAAAAATATAAATATAAAATAAAAACTGAAAACTGTAATGAAAAAATTAGATATATAATAATTTGAATTGAAAAAATTAATAAAAATATTATAAAATTTATATTTTTATATGAAGTTAGAAATAAAAAAAATAATAAAAATAGACAAAATTATCATTTTAAAAAATATATTGAGATAAATAATAAACAAAGCCATCAGTCATTAGGAAAAATAAAAAGGAAAAAAATTTATGGATTTCCCACCAAAAAAAATACTTTTTAGTTTTATTAACAACCCCCTTTTAAAGGTCAAAATCTACTACAAAATATAAATTTCTTGTATAAATCTACAGGTGCCCTGCGACGGGCATCAAAAAGTGAATTTAAAGATTTTTCTAACGTTAAAGGGCCAGAATTTTTGAATTTCTTCTCTATTCTCTTATGTAGTCTGACTAGATTGCCAATAAGACCCATATCAGGAGCTCTTCCCGAAAAATTACAATAATCAACTTTATAAATTCTGCTCCTCATAACCTTCTGTGCCGTGTTTAAACGTTTCATCTTGTTTATCCACGGTAATGTTGTCAATCCTTTCTATTGAGATATCAACAAAAGCTAAAGGGGGTTGTCCACTTCCTGCAAGAGACACTGGTATATTCGGGATATCTAAAGCGTCAGATATCGGACTTTCAACATCAATAGGTTTACCAGCACGCTGATAATCTCCAAAAATAGTCAAGGATTCCTCATCGGGCGCAAACTTGCAGCCCTTTAGTCTTGACTCAGTCGCGCCACATAGGGGCATAGAGTTGGCTCACCTCAGTAGCACGTTTCCTCAAGGCATCACCGGGCGAACTCATCCTTTCCAAGCTACTGCTAGATTGAGGTAATTCAAGTCGCATATTTGTTTGAGTAAAGTAAGCTTTTTCGGTGACTCTTGTTCCATACCTTTGTTGGAACTGTAAATCAACCTAAAAAAAATAAGCTCAAAACATGCGTGAGTGGCAATACCATCAAGAGCTAATCCAAATTTATCCATATACGTTTTTCTGGCATAAATAAGAAATTTTTTTGGGTCAAAAACGTTATGCGATCCAATAATTTAGTTTTTCTCCAACTAGTAGCTTCTATCTCTTGCCAGCATCTTTTAAACTGATATTGATCGGCAAAAAAAAAAAGTTGTAGCTAAAATCATTGGCAGTAGCTTGAAATATATTAAATTGTCCTTTATATTTAAGGAGGCTATGTATCAAACTCAACATTCCTTCAAAATTCCATTTAGCTTGAAGTTCCTTTTTAGGCCGCACCTCAAGCATCTTGACTACTTTTTCTTCATATATAGTAGCGCTTTTTGAGTGTACAACTGAATTAAAGTTATTATCTATGAAATTTTTTATTTCCAGGAACTGTTTTAAAAAGAGCAGTATATGGTTAAGACTTAATTAGACAGTAGAACTGATGCAATTCTTTTTTAACAACTTTTACTTATTTTTTTGGTCCCCACACTTAATGTTTTAGATTGGAAGGTTATAAGGGCAGCAACATGCCTCATTTGAGAAATTGTTATGGCTTAAAATAATTCTCTTTTTTTTCAATATTATTAAGTAACTAAGCAAGGACCGCTTTGATGGTATGTTTTGTTCAATATGGCCCCCATATTTGCATATAAACCGTTAAGTCTTACATCTTCGGCAACTTACTCTCCTGTAGCAGGCGTTTGAGATGAATCAAGCAACAAAATACCTAAACGACTATCAATATCTTTTAGCCAATCATCGTATGCGTAGTTAATAAGCGGAGAAAAGTAGAGCTTCTTTTATAGGCCTCGGACACATTATTACGTAAACCATTAATACATTTATCATATTCGTGATTATCTCCCTCTAAAAGTTTCGTATTTATATACCCCTCTTCAAGTGAACACCGATAATTGGACCTAATAAGATATTGAACTAAATTGTCCCTTATCGACATAACGATTAGCCTCATCTATAGTCCGCATGTCATGAATTCACTAAAAGAAGGTCGGGTGGTAGAAATTGCAGTTCCCAATCAGGAAACCGCCTTCTTAAATCTAGGTAATAGCTTTTTCGCTCTAACCGAACTTGCTCAGCTTGAGGTGCTTTACAAGGAGCTATAACTCTATAAGTCTTTCTAACTGACCCGTTAAAAAGCTTGCTTACCCTCTAAAAAAAAGGTATCCACTCCATTGTTAAATGGCAAACGCCTTTTTGCTGTATCTTTCAAGGGGATCCAAAGGTAGTCTTAACCAAAATAAAGATTACTAACGTGCTTGGTTATTGCGTGTGGACCCCCTATAGATCCCCAACTTGGCAAAAGCGGTCCTGCACTTCGAATTATAGTTTTATAATAAAAAAGCTGATTCTCCTCCGGGGTTTTATAATTAATATCTTTTTGTATTTCCTAAAAATTTAGAGTATACTTTAATATTCCTGGTAACCACTCAAAAATGTCTCCTTCCAAAACAGGATTTTTTTTTTCTTAGCAGAAGGAAGCGGTCCCTCTGTCACCGAACTATAACCCTCCAGTAACTTTAGCTTCTTGGTCATAATCCTCAAAGTGGCGTGCAAGTATAAATCTCCGTTCTTGACTTTTAGCTATTTCCAGCAGCCAGTTCGTTAATTGTAAAACGTTATTAAAAACGTAAAAAACTTGCCATTCTTCTAAATTTTGGTAATTATTAGCAAAAGGGTGAAAAGCTTGGCGAGTCACAGAGGGGATGTAAAGTATTATTTTCCCGTTTTGAAGTTTATTACGGAGAATGTTGTGAGACGTATGTAGAAACTCTAAGTAGGTGACTTCTATTCCAGAACAGGGTTCCTCCTTTTAAGGTCTTCCAAAGTTAACGTCTATCCTTATCTTTATTAAGCGACGGTGCGATACCACTGAGCAAATGCTCAAAACCCGCCTGTGATAAATGACCTTTATCCCTGACCTCCAGGGTGGCAGAAAGAAACTCGGCTTTCATTAAAGTACACCAATTTTCCTTGTGTTTACTCCAAAAGGTTCCCAATTGCTTATTAATTTTAGATTTAAAATCAACTTTTTGTATAATTTCTCTTAAATCAGTTGGGCGTAGTTTTTGTCCAAAGTTGGAACCGTTGAAATAACGAATAGCATAGCGGGTGTTAATATTATATTTAACGTCCTTCAAAAGTAAGTGAAACTGAATTAAGACGGCGTTGGATAAAGTAACCGACCACTTAGCAAAATTCGCCTCATGATAATTAATAAACCATTTGGATTCTTTGATCGTATAGGCAGTGGGCTATAAACCTAATATAACTTATCGGTATCCACCTCGTCCTTAACATTTAATTTTATTTGTTCTTGAAGGGCGACACGTGCCGTCGATAACAAGTCCGGTAAACCCATAAATAATTTATATCGTATTTCTAAGATATTTGTATAGCTTTTTTTCATAATTAGTTCCATTAACAAAGTCTGTAGGAAGCTGCAATTTTTCCATACAAAAAGTGTGTACTATTATTAATGATAGAAGGGCAGCTAGTATGACTCTAGGAGAAATCGTTCCTAGGAGTAAATATACAAAGTATTTTGTTTACTTTCTTTAAATTGATATCCAACTAAGCTAGTAAAAAAATATCGAATAATTAAGCAATAATTTTATTAAAATTTTTACTTATGAAAGGTGCTTTAACCTGCGGCTATGGGAGCTATATAAAATTTAAAAATACTTTGATACAACATTAGCAAATTATGTATTCTTAAATTGGCTTAAAAACATTAAGTATATAGGACAATGAAGACATTTATGTTAAGAAACCATGAAAAACACAGAATTAAGAAAACAGAGGAGAAAAGCCGTAGTTAAAACAAAATCAACTTATAAACAGTGCTTTAACTTGCAGGCTCTGGTAGCTATATAAAATTTTAAAATGATTTAATACAACAATAGTAAACTACGTGTTCTAAAATTGACTTAATAACATTAAGTATATATATCAATGAAGACATTTATGTTAAGCAACATTAAAAAACGCAGAATTAAGAAAACAGAGAAAAGCAATAGCTAACACAGTATCTAATATATAAAAAAATATTACAAACAAGATATCAATATTAGAAGTTTCTAAAACAGTACCTTATAAAATAAACCCCTTGTAGAGAAAATATTGGATACATTTATTTATAATAATAAAAATAATAAGAAAAGTAATTTAAAAAAAACTAAGGTCAATCTACTAGACAAAACGTGCACAAGTGGAAGCCCCCTATAAGCAAGCTTTATAGTTCAACTTATTAGGAATTTGTGCTTAGCAAGGGT